ACACACCCGGATGCGTCTGACTTTGTGAATGATTTCGAGGAGACCGCTATCACAGAAGATTAACCACCCATCATGTGACTCTTGAAATTCCACAATTATACCATAAATATATAATGTTATTTGTGGAAGATTAATGTATAATTATTGTGTGATTTTTCATATGTTTATGTATAATTACTGCGTGTTTTATGTTTGCTAATGATGTATAATATTTTATGAATAAGATTATCTTATCTCTATTAATTCTTTGTTTGTCTCAGAAATGGACACTACAAACGGAGCATCAACCAAGATCAATGCTAGAGATATCTATATATCAGATAGTGGAACAACGCATACTATTCTTAAACACAGAAAATATTTTTCTGAACTTAAACCAACAAATATCACAACTAACACAATATCGGATCCTGTAGACTTGATTGAAGGGATTGGTAAAGCCCATTTCACATTACCTAATGGGACAAATTTCTCGATAAATAATGCACTATTTTCTCCAAATTCTAAGAGGAATTTGTTGAGTTTTAATGACATATATTCTCAAGGATTTGATATTCATTCTGAAACTAAGAATGGAAAGAAATATATGTATATTACTCTTAAGAAATCGGGAAAACAAAAGGCATTGGAAAAACTACCAAAACTCCCTACTGGTCTGTATCAAACATATATAAGTGCCATCGAATCACATTTGGTGATTAAGAGAAATTCTGATGACTTTACACTATGGCATGATCGTCTTGGTCATCCAGGCACCACAATGATGCGAAAGATCATCGAGAACGCACATGGTCATTCACTGAAACCCCAAGAAGTTTATCAGGGAAATAAAATGACATGTACTGCGTGTTCTTTAGGAAAGTTGATTATAAGACCATCGCCAACCAAAATAGATAAAGAGTTACCAAAGTTCCTTGAACGAATTCAAGGCGATATTTGTGGACCTATACACCCACCTTGTGGACCATTCTATTATTTTATGGTAATGATCGACACGTCGAGTAGACGGGTCCCACGTTTGTCTATTATCCTCTCGAAATGTGGCATTTGCGAGATTTTTATCTCAGATAATCAAACTAAGAGCTCAGTTTCCTGATTATCCAATAAAGAGGGTCAGACTAGATAATGCTGGTGAATTTACTTCCCAAGCATTCAATGATTATTGTATGGTAACTGAAATTGATGTGGAACATCATGTTGCTCATGTTCACACACAAAATGGTTTGGCTGAATAATTAATTAAACGTCTGCAACTGATTGCAAGACCATTAATCATGAGGTCTAAACTCCCAACCTCTGTGTGGGGACATACTATTTTGCATGCCTAAGCACTAATTCGGGTGAGACCAAGTGCATATCACAAATATTCACCAATACAGTTAGCATTTGGACGAGAACCAAATATTTCTCATCTAAGAATTTTTGGTTGCGCTGTATATGTGCCAACTGCACCTCCCCAACGTACAAAGATGGGACCTCAAAGGAGGTTAGGTATATATGTTGGTTGTGATTCGCCATCAATTATACGTTACCTAGAACCACAAACTGGTGATGTATTTACGGCACGTTTCACTGATTGCCACTTTGATGAAAAAGTATTTCCGGTTCTAGGGGGAGAAAATAAACAAGTAGAAAAAGAGATAAATGGTGTGTGCCATCTCTACTACACCTTGATCCTCCTACAAAACAATCGGAATTAGAAGTCCGTCGAATTATGCATTTGCAAAGCATTGCAAATCAACTACCTGATGCATTTGCAGACACCAAAATGGTAACAAAATCACATATACCCGCTGCAAATGTTCCTTCTCGTATTGAAATGCCATATGAACGTGGAGCAGATGATAATACGCGAGATTCAAAAATACGTTTAAAACGTGGTAGACCTGTTGGTTCTAAGGATAAAAATCCTAGAAAACGAAAGGAGATGGAAAAGCAAAATCCATCCAATACAACAGAAAGGCCGGAAGAAATGAACCATGAGGTTGATAACAGTGTTGAACATCATGATTCTGAAGAAAATCATGAGATTTCTATTAACTACATTCACAATAAAAAAATATGGAATCGAAATAATGTGAATGGTGTCGATGATATTTTCTCGTACTTTGTTTCAAAGGAAATAAATGAAGAAAGTGATGACCCTGAACCAAAATCTATCTCAGAATGTCAAAAGAGACACAACTGGATGAAATGGAAGGATGCAATACAAGTTGATCTTGATTCTCTTAACAAACGAGAGGTATTTGGATCTATCGTAATCACACTTGAAGCTGTGAAACCAGTCGGATATAAGTGGGTTTTCATTCGGAAAAGCAATGAGAAAAACGAAGTAATGAGATACAAGGCTCATCTTGTAGCTCAAGGCTTTTCTCAAATACCTGGGATCGATTATGAAGAAACATATTCTCCTGTTATGGATGCAATCACTTTTAGATTTTTGATGAGTCTTACAGCTAGTCAAAATCTAGAAATGCGTCTAATGGATGTTGTTACAGCATACTTATATGGATATTTGGACACTGATATTTATATGAGAATACCCAAAGGATTTAAGATGCCAGAACCCTTAAGTTCTAAACCTAGAGAGTTATGCGCAATAAAATTGCAAAGATCATTATACGGCTTAAAACAATCTGGACGCATGTGGTACAATCGTCTCAGTGAACATTTAACCAAAGAAGGATATGTAAACAGTCCTATATGCCCATGTGTGTTTATCAAGAAAACATCATGTGGATTTGTTATTATTGCTGTATATGTCGATGATCTAAATATTATCGGTACTAAAGAAGAAATACAAAAGGCATCTGATTATTTAAAAGAAGAATTTGAGATGAAAGATCTCGGACATACCAAGTATTGTCTTGGTCTACAAATTGAGCATTCTCAAAAGGGTATATTTGTACACCAATCTACATATACGAAAAGAGTGTTGAAACGATTCAACATGGACAAAGCAACTCCACTTAACACTCCCATGGTTGTCAGATCACTTAATGTTGAGAATGATCCTTTTCGACCACATGAAGAGAATGAGGAGATACTTGGCCCTGAAGTACCGTACCTAAGTGCAATAGGAGCACTTATGTATCTTGCAAATTGTACTCGGCCTGATATATCATTTGCCGTTAATCTTTTAGCAAGACTCAGCGCATCTCCTACGCAAAGACATTGGAATGGGATCAAACATGTCTTTCAATATCTTCAAGGAACAATTGATTTAGGATTATTTTGTCCTAACAACTCTAACGGAGAAATAGTTGGTTTTGCAGATGCAGGATAATTATCTGATCCTTATAAAGCTCGGTCACAAACAGGGTATGTTTTCACAGTTGGAGGAACAACTATATCATGGCGTTCCCAAAAACAAACACTTGTAGCCACTTCCTCAAACCATGCTGAAATAATTGCTCTCCATGAAGCAAGTAGAGAATGTGTTTGGCTCAGATCAATAAGTCAACACATCCGTTCGAGTAGTGGAATCAACGTCAATTCAGAACCGACCATCTTATATGAAGACAATGCAGCATGTGTCGCTCAAACAAAGGAAGGATACATTAAAAGCGATCAAACCAAGCATATTCCACCGAAGTTCTTCTCATATACCCAAGAACTCGAGAAGAATAAATAAATTGAATTGAGATATGTTCGATCTTGTGACAATGCTGCAGATCTCTTTACAAAGTCATTATCCACTACGACATTCAGAAAAAAATGTTTACAACATTGGAATGCGTCATCAACAAGAACTGTGAAGATCGTCTACTCGAGGGGGAGTTTCTGAGTTGTACTCTTTTTACTCTACTATGATTTTTCCTACTAAGTTTTCCAAGAAAGGTTTTTAATGAGGCAACAGAAAATAAAAGACAGAAGATACTAATGATACTGGTCTCCAAGGGGGAGTGTTACAAAAGTCAATATCTTGCGTAAGAAATTTAAAATGGAGCCCATATCATTTATTCATCACAATATAATTTGTCGAATTCTTCTTCTATATAAAGAGTGTATAGCTCTCATTTGTAAGTCACAAAAGGTATTACATCTTTCGTCTATCTCTTTCTATAATATATTTCTGTATGCATTTCTTTCTATTATTTAGTAACATTTTAATTATATTTCATAACTAATAAAAATATATATATACGTATTATAAACAAATAAAGTAATATAATATAACACAAGAAAAGTTATAAGATCAGCGCATAGAAAACATACCAATACTATATACAGTAGTAAAACAACAACAGTGGAAGACCAAGTGATGGTTTGCTAAAAAGAAAAAGTAAGATCCCAAGTGAAAAGTGACATTTTTCTAATGGTCATAGCCAAAGGCTAGCTCGAAGATCTGCTCATATTCATCGACGAAATGAACATCGAGCCCTTCTTTAATGCTTTCCTCAAGATCCTCAAAATCTCTCCGGTTAGCCTCTGGGAATATTATCACCTTCACTTGGCTCCGCCTTGCAGCCATAGTCTTCTCTTTAAGCTGAGAATTATAGATGCTTAGTGTATTAACTGGTAGCCAAAAACAAAAAAAAAAAACAAAACATAGTAATTGTAGTAGTGTGTTGTATACTTACGCCGCCAATTGGAAGAATCCTACCGGTCAGAGTGACTTCTCCAGTCATTGCAAGATCCTTTCTTACAGGCTTCTTCAAGGCAAGTGAAAGCAAGGATGTGATCATTGTGCAGCCGGCGCTTGGACCATCTTTTCGTGTGGCTCCTTCAGGAACATGTAAATGAAGCTTGGAGTTCGCAAAGAAGAGGTTCTTGGGATCTTTCTCAAACATTATTCTTCTGGCAACTGTGTGAGCTATCTCTGCGCTTTCTTTCATCACTTTCCCAAGGTGACCCGTTAAATGAAGACAACCTTTGCCTTGACCTTCTTCAACAAAGGTTGTCTCTATGTACAACGTTGATCCTCCCATGGATGTCCAAGCTAGACCCATTACAACCCCGACTGGCGTATGCTCATAGATCTTCTCTCCTCGAAAAACCGGTTTACCTAAATAATCTGCAAGATTTGCTTCGTCAATAGTAAGCTTTTCAGCAACCGCTCTGCTCTTATTGCTTGTCGGACCCCCACCAAGTGCGTATCCCAATACCTTGAGAACATCAGCTAATCGTAAATATTCATTTGTCAATTCAATGGATCCTTCAGCAGCTGTTTCCGACGACTTTAAATCTGTCATAGCCGCTTTGGCGGATGCTTGTTGACGTACAAGTTTAAGAGCAATCTGTTAATCAAACAAAATAATTTTAGATTTGCTTGGAGTCCACGTTAAACAAAATGATAGGAATATTTAGTGTAATTTTAGATTGCTTGGTAATATTTTTGTGAGCTTTACCTTACGAAAAATCTTTTCAATCTGCTTCTGAAGATTTCGAACTCCAGCTTCTCTGCAGTAGTTTTCTATCAAGGAAAGAAGAGTCGCCTCGCTCACATCAACCAGTTCAGGCTTAATGCCACATTTTTTTTGTACATTTTTCACCAAATAGTCTCTAGCAATATGCATTTTCTCATCGGCAGTGTACCCTGCGAGTTCTATAACCTCCATTCTATCTAGCAAAGGATCTGGAATCCTATTTATATCGTTTGCTGTGCATACAAACAAAACCTACAACCAAAAATTTTGATTATAATGAAAGTAAACAAAAATAGTGAGTAATAAGATAAAGAGAGTACCTTTGATAAGTCAATAGGAACATCAAGAAAATAATCTAGAAAATGTGCATTTTGCTCTGGATCCAGAAGCTCCAACAACGCACCCTCTGGATCTTTACTACTATGCTGTCCTATCTGTCAAAGAAACAAGTGATGTTTGTAGCAAATAATCTCAAAAGCTAAAAATCCAATTCCTAGCTTAACTACCTTATCAATCTCATCGAGCAGAACAAGAGGATTCTCTGTTCTCACTTCCTTTAGACATTGCACCATCTGTCCTGGAGCGGCACCAACGTATAATCCACGGTCCCCCTATAAGTGAAAACATTGTAGATGATGATATATTGTTGGTTTTCTTTTAGTTTCCTTCCCCAAAGGCCTCGTATGTATTCGAATTGAACACTAGACATTCGTCGTATAAATTTCAAATGTTTTTATCATGCAGTAAGTAGTATACCTTAATGTGGGAACTATCAGATAGTCCTCCAACAGCGAGCCTAAAGAACTTGCGGCCAAGAGCACGTGCTACAGAACGAGCAATGCTAGTTTTCCCTACCCCAGGTGGGCCAGAGAGACAAATGATCTTCCCTGTTTCACAAAAACAGGGTTTCAGTTTCACAATTTATATAAAGAGACAGTGAGTGAGAAAGACAAAAAGAGATGACCTTCTGAATTGCCCGTAAGTGTTCCCACAGCAACAAACTCTAGTATTCTTTCTTTTACATCACGTAATCCGTAGTGATCCTCGTCAAGAATCTCTTCTGCCCTTAGGACATCAAAATTATCGTTACTGCAAAACAAATAAATCAAGTGTTATATATAGATCTCCTAAAGAAAACCATCAACATATGAAGCAAAATGGCAAACCTGCATTCTCCCCAAGGCAACGCTGTCAACCAATCAAGGTAGTTATAGATACTATCGGTACTACTTGAATCTTTTTCTGCCCTATCAAGTTTTTCAAACTTTTCTTCCATGACTTTTACTACATGTTTTGGAATTTTGTCCATCATAAGTTTTACCTTAACTCTTTCCCTAAACTTGTCTGCAGTAAATAACAGACTTTATTAGCTTCACTCGCTATAATAGAAAATACTTCTATAGTAGTAGACTAACCAGAAGGTAGAGTTTTTTTGACGTATTTAGTAGAACCAGACTCCTCCTGCATTGAGACACTTATAAGTCATACAAAACATATCATAAATGTAAATTGTGTGGCGAGCTGAAAACCTTTTTGTCTTCAACGGTTTTTTCTGTGGATTCCTATATATGAATGCAAAGAGATAAAGGATTCATTCTATATAAAACATATAATTTACAAAAAAGAAAATCTCGAACAGCTGAAAACCTTCTTGTGTTCAACAGTCTTTGCAGTGGATTCCTATATATTACGAATGAAAAGAGATGAGGACTCATCCTGATAGAAACATATCATCTACAAAGAAAAATCTAGTAGCATGAGTCACCGGGAAAATGGAGGCATGAAACACTTGAATTTTGTTAATTTCCACTTGTTTCTTAACCAAGTCTAGACGCTTACGAACCTAGATCGAAAGAAAGCAAATATGAGAAGCTTATTGAAAATAAAATAGCATACTGTTTGAAGTAATTTCAGCATTTTCTTAAAAAAGACAATAGTTAAAAAAAAATACTTACATCTAATTCTTCAAGAACCTCCTGAATTTTATGTTTGTTAGCACCCGAGATCCCGACTCCAAAATCGGCTAACTTTTTGTAATTGAAGTCAGTAGCTTTAAAGATACCATCTCCAGAACCGGTTAGCTTTTGATGAAAGACGTCAATAGCCTCAAAGATCCCAGCTCCAAAACCGGTAAACTTTCTTCTTCTCTTTTGTAGTAAAAACTTTGCCAACTTTTGATAGTTGGAGTCACCTATATCCTATAAAATTCAAAGAAAATCAACTAATATGGTGATATATTCGGACATATTTAACTTAAGCTCAGCAAGCAGTGCCAAATATAGAGTGAACATGCCTGTGTATATGTCTGAACTTGATCCCTCCAGAGTGATTTTGTCTCTAAGACATCCCTAAGTATATAACCTCAAAGTATGTTGCCTTGATGATGACCTTATCGTCCTTGTCATATAGCTTATCCTGCAAACAAAGAATGAATAGGCACATATCAGATATGAAAAGGATTATAGCTGTTTTGTATCATGAAAAGAAAGGCTTGAAAACAGAAACACACTATTATATGATGAGTTTTGACAGTTAGAGGATCTCCAGTCACCTGTATAAAAAACAAAGCGCATGGTTACTTTTAATGAACTTTTAAATGAGTAAAGTTGAAGAATGTTTCTCCATTAACTTACCATCTCTGTTATTTGAAGTCGTTTGCGACCAATAAGGATGACTTGCTCACCTTGGATACTTAAAATCTGGATTTTTTTGGGCAAAGGGTTAAATAGTATTTCAAATAGAGACAAGGAAAAAAAAAAATACTTTGCTAACGTATGGTATGTAACCTGAGCAAGTGTGCCCACTTGGTGAATTTTGTGAAGCAACTCTTTGCCTTTCAACTTATCTAAGATATTCACTGTTTCAAAGCTAGAAGAAGATGAAGCAGTTGAAGCGTATATGTCATCCTTCAAAAGGAAAGCTCCTGCATATGGAGATTGACCGCTTTTGCTCTCTTGTAAAGCTGCAAGTACTTTAGGATCCTTGACATAGAGTGGCATGTAGAAACCAGGAATAAGAGGCTTGCGAAGCAATGGCAATGCTACAACCTGCAAGTTAACCAATGCAAAGCTTAATGAAAAGAGTTGTACCCAACAGTAATGTTATAGAAGTTTCTAGATTTCAAGAGAATTTCTAGAAACCGTTTGACAATCGTCGAGGCATGGCTTAGTAGAGACAGTGTTGGTAAGCTTGGAATCGGTTAGTGTCGAGAAGAAAGCTCGATGAGCCAATTTGTGGGAACTCCGGTTCTTACACCGGCTAGCTATGTGATGGGATGTGAAGAGCTTCAGCATGAGGAGAGATGAAGATATTGAGTAAAAAACTTGATCTGGGAACTCTAGGGTTACGCTTTGCCTTAAGAAGCAAGGAACTCGAAGAATAATGTAGAGGAAAGACTAATGATTCAACAGCCAAAACCCTTCAAAATAATTAAATTAAAAGTATCAAAAAGTATGATTTAATCGCTGGAAGTTATTCTGGTAAAAGTTGATTCACAAACAAACCGGATGAAGCAGATGAACCTAAGAAGAACACTAATGGGTGTCCGACGAAGGCAAACATTCCCTTTTATAAACACTCTCAAAAAGGGAAACAAAATTTAAAAGAAAAATAGAAAGGGAGCCTATTAAAAAAGAATGATACGTGGAAACACCGCTAAAGGCTTCTACACCAAGAGAGTTTAAGTGACCAAAGAAGCTGAATGACAAATTATGCAAATTGGAAAAACATTTATAAGAGATAGTTTATGTAATATTTCTCATACTTTTTAATACATAATTAACAAGTGTTAAAAAAAGAGAATGATACAACATTATTTCCATTTATATCATTCATTTTTTTTCAATTAACTTAGGGTATCCTGGACTAATGTAAAGACCCATACTAATCAAAACCCGTTCCTTCTATAAAGCATATATTTTTTTTTTGTAACACAATTCATTAATAAAATTCAAACACTCAAAAGGAGAGTTTTCAGAAAACAGAGCATGCTTAGCCAACAAGTCGGCTTCTCAGTTCCTCGTACGAGGGATCCAAACAAAAGAATAGAAATCTAAAAAGGCAGACCAATATAGAATGTCTGCAATAATCCCATAGAGCTCTGAGTGAGCAGGGTGTGACGTGATAGCTAATATCCAGAGCTGGTCCTAGAAAAAATTAGACTATAAGTAAAAAAAACTATTAGGCCGATTAGTATTAAGTATTAACATATAAACAAAAAAAAATATTGAAGAATGATGGGGGAACAGCTCGAACTCGTCACCTTGGACATAAACCGTAGTGCCATGACCAACTTAGCTAAAGCAACTAATGGTTTTATGCGGCCGAAATTATAATTATTATTTGACGCCTAGAAGCAACTGCTTGGTCTGCTTCTTGTCAGGGCCGGCTCTGCTGATATCAGCTGTGCTGAATCAAACTTGGAAATTACTCGTTGGAACCCCAACTCCTTGCACTTCAAGACTGCTGAGCGAAGAACCAAGCCCTCCACACTAAGAGGAGATCTAAATGCTCCTGAAAAAACCTCAAACTGAACATTACGCAGAGATTTAATTATCCATCCTAACCCGCTGCATTTGTATCTGCTCTCCAAGCTGCATATACAGCAATGACGGTAGTGTTCGGAGGTGGAATCAATGGGGGATATTTCAAGCATTTGCGTGGGGTTATCTTTTCCTGTGCAAAGAACAACTCCCGAGCCATTGACATTGCCTTTGTGATAGTTTCCTCAGGGGAGGAGCATTTGTTATTGAAGACCATATTGTTCCTCGCCGTCCAAATAGCTCACAGAATCCAAGGGCCAAATGAACCCGCTCCCAAACCCACCGGAGGGAGCGTGACGAGTCCGCAAAGCAGCGGCCAATTTTCAGTCAAATCTACCAATCTTATTGAATCAAAGCTTACGCTGAAAGGAGCTAACTCCCAGACCTTTCTAGCAAATTTACAGTGAAGAAGGAGATGATTTGTAGATTCAAGTTCATTGCACCTCTTGCATTTGTTATCAACATTAATGTGGCGTGCTGTCAGCCTTTCTCCCACTGGCAATGCCCCCTAAAAAAATTTCCAAAGGAAGAGCTTGACCTTTGGTGCCACCTGCAGGCTGCAGCCTCCATACATCACGGTTCCAGTTACTGAGATTTGTATTCACAAATTGTCCATCATCACTTTCCTTCAGCTCTGCATAGTATCCTGACTTGGTGGTGAAGTTACCATCCTTACTCTTTAGCCAGATCAACTTGTCCGGAGCCCCGGAAATACTTGGCCGGATGAGTCTGATCTGCTGCTCTACATAATCCGGTAGCCATCGATGTAGCGCTTCCAAATTCCAATCCTTTGAACCAGGGGTGAACAAATCTACCACTTTAAGCGAAGATCCAATTTCCGTTGCAGGACCCATTGGTCTTTCTTGATGGGTTAAGCTAAGCCAGGGATCATCCGAAACTTCTATAAAGCATATAAAGCGTTTGTTTAGGCCACAAAATATAAATATAGTTAGAAGGCACATTTTCTAAAATAGTAGTTTGCTTTGGTGGTTGGATTTCAAAGTTTTATCTTTTGGTGAATGATTCGAACTTTTCCCTAATATAACTCTATAGAATTAATTTGGGCCACATATTGTTTGTATTGGAGGCCACATTTTTTATAAAGTTTTAAGCCTAGAAATAGATTCTTTCAACGAATATTCAAATATGTCAAAATCAAGTGTCAATATAAATACCAAACAAATATTGTTTTACGGTATTTTAGACTATGAATTTTTGTCCAAACTAAACTCAAACCCAAATAGATATCCAATAAAACTCGAATAATTCAAAATCTCTAAAAAGAACTTGTACCATATTCAATCATAGTTACTATATATCTAAAATACATTAAAATATTATTGAGTGCTTAAAATAATTTATTACATGATAAATTAACTTATATACTTAGTTTAATGTATATATTTTTGGTATTTGGTCTATATGTTGTTTTTTCTGTTTTGATAATTGCATTTAAAGTTCAATTATAAATAATTTTGTTATGAAACTTAAACAATGCTGTTTTAAAAAGTTTAAATAATATTTCTTGTGGTTATAGTGTTGTTAGATGTTTTTTTTTTGTCACAAAGAGTTGTTAGATGTTAATTTTAATTTATTTAGGTTTCATTATGTAGGATTCTCATGTACAAGGTTCTAATTTATCATGATATACCATTGTCACATATAATTCAAGGAAAACAATATGGTTCGAGGAATCCACCAACACAAATTTTATTGAAAACATTAAAATGTTTTGAGTTTAAACAGGTACAAGTCAATACTTTTGGAATCTATAACCTGATTAAAATCCAAAACCAAAATTATTTAGGGTTCAATCGAATTTTGGACACGTAATTGACTAAATCTGAAGCGAATCTGATACAAATTTTATAATATTCTAATAAGACCGAAATTTATAAATCTGAAAATTCGAAAACCGATTGAAGTCCCAATTACCCGTGCTACGCTAGTGAAGACCTTTGCCGTGAACTACAACAATACTGTAGGCAGTAGCAGATACGCTGGTGTAGAGCATTCTGAAGAAAAAAAAAAATACTTTTCTTCTTATGATTTCAGCTATGGTTGATTTAGATGACTTGTCATACAAGCTGTGATGATGAAACTGATACATTTATAGTCTTATAAATACTCGTTATTGTTATGATGTATAAAGTTGTTTTTTACACTGGATAACAATTACATCATTATGTAATATTAACTCTATTATATATGATGACACCTCTCACATATGCGATTTTGATGAATAACTCCATGAATATTAATTCCACTATGAAGCTCTTCCTGAAACATTTGAATCGATAGTCGGCTCTGCATGTCAATATCCTTGATGAACATGCCTGTTTCGCAGCAAACGACCACAACGAACGACTCTGCCTGCAATACTCAGGAACCTTCGATAATCTTTGCATCCTATAATTTGCAATAATTGTGTTATCTGGACGTCGAATCCCCAATCTGGATATAGAAGTTTTTAAAAATATAAAATTGTTTGGTGGCAACAAATTAAAAAAATAGACAACTTACACCAAGAAAAAGAGACAACCAAACTAATATATTTAAGTTATCAGAAAAAGCCCCCATATATAATAAATTGCAAGATATTCAAAGATATAGCATAAGGTTGCATGAAACTAAAAGAGAAAACAATTACAATCTAAGACATGATAGTTTCAATGTGATTGGGGAAAAAATGGAGACCAGGTAAAGGTCCATCTCCAAGTCCATGGCGTCTTCTAAAACCATCATCCACAGTTGGTATATATTCAACTCTTCTGAGCGTTTTTCTCTTTGGATTTAAATATATAACATCCAATGCTTTGAGCAACGTTTTTGGTGCATAAACAAACTCACCATCATCAGTGATACCAACTAGTTTAAACTTGTCTTGCAAATCCTGACCATAGTGAGAAAGAGGTTGATATAGATGATTCGACCATTGGTGGTTCGTTCCGTCCTCCAAAACCCACAATGAAATACTCTTCCCGCTTCTACTATAACCAACACAAGCTAACTTTCCTTCATAACATGTCATCAACATACGCCAAGATTTACCCCATGGTAACTTTATCACATCAAACTTTTCAGATCGTATATCGAATCTCATTATTACAACCTTATCGGAGCAAAGTTTGGCATGATAATATAGAACACCATTGATGCATCGTCCACAAAGACCAGTTATTTTTCCCTCTAAAGTGTTATTTCCGGTTAAAAGACAATGCTTATGGTTAGTGTCGAACCTTCTCCATAGTTCTGGATATGATCCTAATGTTAAAACTTGACACTCATCAGCTGTTGTATCACGAGGCATGCAGACTAGTTTGTGTTTACACTCAACTGGATCGTAACCTAAAAGGAAGGTTACATTCTTCCACCCCCATCTAGGATTCGGTATGTTTATGAACCTTCTCATGGTAGGGTTCCAGGCTATGAGGTCTGGTGAATCTAGGTAGGAGATCATCAAGATGATCAAGCCGTGCACCAACTCTGTTTTAATGATGAAGGGAGAATGTTTTGGGTATGTCCTTATAGGGTAATGATCAATAGGCTGAGAAGAATAAGCCACATTAGTGTTTGGATTCTGATTGTGTTGAGGGAGCGAGTAAAAGTAGAACTTGTCAACTTCTCCGAAGGTGACCAAAAGCCTCGGGCGTGTATTGAAATATGATGGGTCGCTAGTGATTGATGACCAAAGCTTAGAAACACAACGAAACCTTGCAACAGATTTTGTAGGCAGCTTTGAGAGTATGATTGAGGCTAGCTCGAGAGGTAATGATTGAGTTGCTGTTCTTGTGAAGACTTCTCTCTTCTCCTCGTCTTGCTGCTCCATCTTTGATCAAAACCCTAATTTGTTCAGCAATGTTCTTTCGACTTTTTTTTTGTAGTCTACATATAATCTTTATTGTATAAAATTGTTTTGGTTTTATATAAAGTTGGATGTACCAAATTTAGTAAAGTAGAAATGTAAAGAAAATTTATACCAACACATAGCTTAACAATATATACAATTAATGAATTAAAAAAGGATAAATTTCTATAAGAAAAGAAAAGTTTACAAAAAAATGTTTTTGTTTTTTAGCCAAAAACTTAAGGAAAATTATTGGCATTTTTTGAGATCTCCAATTGATAACATATTTGGCATTTACTTCTCAATGCCTTGTTGGAGATACTGTATCAAGTCGTAACCAAAGGTGGTCCACTTGTTATAGGCATCGTTACAGACATTGATCATGAAGTGTGCGGCTTCACGCTCACTCATCTCTGGATGAAACCTCTTACGAAGTTTCTCAATTGGATCTCCTCTGCTGAAGCAAGGCAATCCACTTTCCACCATCATCTCCACTGTACTGATGATCCCTTCCATGTACCCGCGAGCAGCCAAGTAACCTTTAACACACAAGCTACACAAGAGAGTTGTATAGAACCTTCTCAGAACCACAAATGGTGAACTTTCACTGAAATTAGGTAATAAAGATAGAATCATGTGGAGAAACTTTACCTTACAAACTGATTCCAAGTTTCGCTCTTCATATCACCTGATGGATCAAGCAACTGTGTCATCTCGTGGCTCAGTTTGAAATGTGCGCTCTCAAAACGCATGTTTCCCCCAGGTGAAGTTTCAAAGATGAAACCAAAATCAATGTGAACAAGCCTTCCCATGCTGCATTCGCAAACACATATATGTAATGGTTGGTTTTTCATAACCAGAAGTGAGGGTTTCAAAAGTGTGAAAGTTATTATACTTGTCGAAGAGGAGATTGCCGTTGTGTCTGTCTTTGGGCTGGAGTAAAAGACTCGCCACCGCGTAACCAGCACTGCTGGTGAGGAAGTTACTCCGTGCTGTTTCAAAGGAGGGTGAGCCAACGGGTCCAAACTCCTGTTGAAAGATCTCATACAAGCCTCCATCAGTTGATTCACCCATTTGACTTCTGCTTCGTGTATTTGGCACTACCTAATTATTAAAAAGAAAAATAATAAAACACACAACTCACATTTGGGATTGAGAAATGAGAATGAGTTAGAATATACCTCAATGATGCCCCTCCCAGCCCCAGTTGGAAGTACTCCATATGGAAACAGATAAAGATTAAGACCAACCGCTTCAAATATGTCTCTTAGAAGAGATATCACTTGAAGAGCAAGAACATCTTGACGACAATCATCTCCAACCTAATAAAACAAGAGAGGATTATGTTACATTACCAAACCGTGCAGCATGCATATATGCATAAGCTTACCTTGAAAATACAAGCCTGTGGTTTCACATCATTATGGTTACCATCACGATCGACAACGTTAAAAGTTATCATGATAGGGACTTTGGCAGCTGATTGTAGTGGTATGCCACTGTCTATCTGGATACCCTTAACAAGCTTGTTAGGAGCCGTAGGCAAATAAAGGTCTTCGCCTTGCATTTTTATTTTCTCCAACTCTCTGGCACAGAAAATATTATATATCACGCAGATTAATTTGTAACATAATATCCAGTTACAAAAAAATTAATATTAAGAATGCTACCTCCTGATACCAGCTCTTCGTTCTTCCTTTGGAAGATGGAATAATGCACCAGAAATAGATGTAACCTTTTCGAAGAAGTCAAACTCTCTATTGAACAAGTCCAAGGCCTTGGGAGTAAAACCATCAATGATATGCTGTCGAACCTCTGACAAGATTGCTTGAAATGATGCATTCTATAATAGAAACAACCCCATGAGCACAAATTGTTCCAGCAATTAATACAAAGGCTGTAGATTTTTTTTCTGAGATTTATAAGGATTAACATGCTTTTGGTCTTTTCATGTTTTATGACTTGCATGGTCGTATAACTACTCCAGAATATTTTCAAGAACAAGTTTGAGGGCAAAACTATATACCATCATGAAACCAAATTTGAATTTTATTGGGATAATTTGCATGATGTGAAAGATCTAATTCTCACCAGTTGTACTAAATTAGGCAAACAATTATACGGTAAAGATTCCACACTAAAGTTGACATCAATACAATAAGTACAAAGGGGTAACAATGGACAAACCTTATCGAAAGCACCATCGTTCACTGTTTCCTGAACAGACTCGCCCTGACATTATATAAAACAGAGGTTATAAATTTAAGAAAAAACAAACAGTCTATTGGTTTAAGAAAACTGATATCTTCACAAACACCACAAGATAAAACTCACCTGCAAATGCCAAGTGAGGATATGAGCAAATATGTCACTTCTTTGGGCAGCTCTGAGGAGATACCCTTCAACCAGCCTCTGTTGACAAACCCGTTTAAAAAATGAGCCAGCCTTTTCAAAGCCTTATAACCAGTGAGAGGAAACAACTATCAAGTAACATATCACACAACATCAACCCATTGGAGATATTCATATTTTTACAATTTTGACTATCAATAAAAACATACAACTGAGAGCCTATCGAGAAGAAGACTAGACTTGGCTTCTCAAGTGTGTGGCTGATAGATTAAACACAGATATAAAGCAAATATGGAAAGAAGTGTGATATGGAGATTTTCACTTGGCGACTTACCCCTTCATCATAGCGCAGAGACTGCACCAACTGTGGCATGAAGAAAGTGACTCGCTCAGGGGGGTATGACTCTAAAACTCGCAGGACATATGCCATCACACGTGGATGGCCCTTATAATTAGGAGTGAGGAACTCAAGAGCCTGTGTAATTGAACAAGCAGCCCAGTGTGGCAGCTGCTGCAATAGCACTGAGTTCTCTTCAACAGTTTTAGGTGTGAGAAAATATGGTAATGCCTCAGGAATTGTGCGAAGATCTACTATATGAGCCTGCAAAAGAAATACTACCAGTGAGAAATTGAATCCAACATCACTCAAATAATACAAAAAAACAGTCATAATATCAGTTTGTACTTGTTACACCAAGAGATCTGAAGCATGCATGTATTTACTAACCACTAATGTCAACAAATGGTCTTCTAACTTTGATAAACTAATCAAATAAAAGTAGCATAAAATATATTTGTTTGGTTTTCAATATGCCTCAATGGTTTGTCGATATCCTCCTCTTGAGCTTGCTAATAAACTTTCAACATAGTTCACCTCTAACCACAAGAATAAAAGTGTGTATTTCTTCAAGACCTAAATGTAATGAGCTCTGTAAACCATACCCGAACTAGCTGAGTGACTTCGGATTTCAAAGCAATATTTGCTGGAAATCTTGATACCAATGATATAGAAATCCTTGGATCCACTAAAAAGGCAGTTTTAGCATGTTCAGTCCATTTCCCAGAGCTTACTTTTAGCCGTGAATATGAACTTTCCCTGTACATAAGTTGCAAGTTAGAACACTGAGTATCAACAATGTAGGTAAAAAACTACCACAAAGAGGATCTGTTACTTTGAACTAATAGGTTCTGCCCAAACGTCTAGCCTATCAGATTCATGTTGGAAAAGAATAAGAAGCAGTTGCTTCCTCTTCTCCTTTCCCACTGCATATTTGTCCATTTTACCCCAAACAGGATGATACTGATCACTCTGTAAACATTCATCCCAATTATATATAGTAGTTTGCATCCTCATACTGCGTTTACCAGCATGAAAGTAGAAAAACAAAGAGGACAGTTACCATACCAATTCAGTTAGTTTCCCGTTTTCTTGAGCTGATCTTCCTTCGGAATCAGATTGGCTAAACTCTGATTTCTCGTTTAACAAAAACTGAACAAAAATTGACACAGATTGAGCCTCACTCTGACAAAATTTCAGAATGTTTACATTGTACCACTCTGGTTGACGAGAAAACCATCGTAAAGAAGTCCTGGAAACACACAATATTCTTATCAACACAGAAATAAGAAACTCTTAATCTAAACTCCACCTGCGAGATAACTACCACGCATTGCAATATGTTTAGCTAACCAAATCTAAAGGGGGAATAACAAAAAGTCACCTGTAGATTCGATCTTCCAGCAATTCATGTCCATGTCTAGATTTATGAATGTTGCCTTGTTTTTGGCATGAGCAGAACTTCAGTCCAAGGAGCATCAAGGAGAAAAATGTACCAGTCGCTGCTGGGTGGTTGGTAAAGCACCAGTCAAGACTTGTATTCCGTTGTAACATCCGACCAAACAACAAGAGTTGATCCACGCTATTATGTCGAACCACCTAAAGAAACATGGAAGGAATAAAAAACAAAATAATTCAACTAAAAACACAGTAAGGAACTCATTTACTCGCAACACTTTGCTCTTCTTATCTAAATCTAATTTCAAAGCAGAAATAAGGCTAAACGTCCTACATCAAATTTCTGCATAAACTGTATATAGAATAAAACCTAACCTCAAAGCGATCTATAAAAAATCCAAGCCATAGTCTGTGAGCGACTATTTGATCAACATGGTCACTATCAGTTAAATCTTCTGGTTCTCCAGGGGCAAGTTGGGGCTTTAATTTTGCAGCTGGGCCATAGTATCGCACATCAGATGCAAATAGTCCTCGTTTTGAATCAGTTGTCCATGTCCATGCATCAACAAGTTCGGCAAGAACAAGAGATCCCAATTGCGGAGCAGCAGAAACCAACCAGGTCCAAATGAATACTCCAGTTTCCATAGCCTCTGGAGTTAATATATAAGCTGGACACCAACAAAGGAGACGTAGTAAACGAGAAAATCCCTTGATATCTGTTTTAGGTTGACCAGCCTGCTGCAACAATGAAAGAATAGAAAAAATGTAAACTTATAAGATACTAACTAGCTGGAAGATATGGCAAATACATTTGTCCCTGCTTACCAGATTTGACAGCAGTACTGCAGTTGCATGAGAACAAGTTTCTCGAAACTGCGACTTGTCAATAGCTCCTCCATTCTTACAAGTATTAACGATTTGTTGAAGGCTCCTCACAGAACTGTTTATTAACGTGTCACTGCCAATACTGTTTCCCAATCTAACCAAGCCAGCAATTTTTCCGGTATGCTGGCACTTCAACATTGCATTAACGACACTAGTACCAAGTATCTCCAAGTTAAAGGCTTCAGAAGCTTTTAAATTTTCCCCAGACGCTGCAACCGCTGCAGCCATCACAGCTGGAATATTTGCTGTTTTTGTTTCAGGCCAAATTTCATTTTTCCCAGTTCCGATCTTCATTTCATTTAGAAGAGAAACCACGTCAGTTGTAGTTTGTGTTCGCTGCAATGTGTTTGCCTCACACAGTTTTTCCTGAGATGAGTTTAAGGAACCGTAAATGCATGCACAAACACTCTGGTGATCAAACAACAAAATAGATCATAATTTCAATCAAAGTAGTAGCAGGCTGAACCAATAATTTTAAGTAAAATTCATTTCATGAATAGGAGTTCCAAAAAAAAAAAGGAAAAAAAAAATTCATTTCATGAATAAAAACATCTTTGAGTGACCAGTAAAATAATTCAGAAAATTGAACAATAACAGTTTAAGCATTTTTAAACTGATAAAAAGGAGACCTCACATCTATAAGCATTTCAAGAAAGACAGAAGAGCCTAAAGATCAAAAGAGATTTAGATTCGGAGCAAGGAAGTAAGAAATGTACTTCCGTATTAAAGTGTTAACACTTATATAAATTGACGAAACGAAGGAAACCTGAAGCAAACCCTGCGTAGTGCATGGAGCATATGAAAGTGATATATAGATCCATTCTCGAACAACTTTATGGTATAAAGATCGAACGGCAACAGTCCAAGCAGGATCATTGACAACCATTGAAGGTGCATTGTCATGAACAGAGAATAGCAAACTATCCAGACAAGACGAGCTCCAGAGGACCTGCATATTTCATTGTTAGCTGATTCATGTTTTTGCATAAAGTAATGTTTGCCAGAAGGATAGTAGATGAAGAGAAAAGCCAGAAGATGTCAATTATTCCTACCTGGGGAAACTTGTCCCTGATCTGATTCAACAGGTTCACCGAGATGTCTCGAATGTGTTCATCTCTCTGTGACATATTCTTTATGAGGAAACATGCATGTGCATTTATAGTCGATTCCCAAATACTATCATCTTTCCAAGTAAGAGACATCCGATCTTCCTGAAACCAGATGATACTGGTGAAGTTGACATAAGACCAAAATGCTTGTACACGCTAGAGTTTCCCACCTAATCAATATAATCATGAAATTACATACCAGCCATGATACTGCTGCTTGAAAGGCTCTATGCACAATTGCTGTCAAACACTGGGAAACAGCAGGCGTGAGGTTTGGAGATTTCAGGTATTCGAAGACACAACTGAAGGCACTTCGAGAGGGATACACACTTGAGCCACCATTAAGGATACCCCCATTGCTAGTAAAACGTATGATCTCCAAAACGGCTACTGCAAGCAGATAGGTTGCCTTCACCCCTGAAGAAAACGAAAGAGAACTGTTTCAGTCACTATACTAAAACGTAGGAGACATCAACAACATTGCCATATATTTCTAGATATCAAATTCAGACACATCACATAAGTTGGACCTGAGATAGTGTTCAGTGCTAAAACGTCAACTCGACCACCCAAGGCAACTGAAAGAGCACTTCTCTGGGTTGAAGCTACTTTCTTATTCCCAATTCCTCGAGAACTATCAGAATTACGAAGCGCATTGAGCTCCAATTCGTCTTCAAGCCATTTAACAGAACTGACGACCTACAAAGACCACATAATCAGTTTTTGAATTATACAGAGGTATCCTGGCCCTACAGAAGTGGTCCAGACTAGTCACGTGTTGCCACGTGTTGGTCCCCTGTCCCAGGCGATGCCGAAATGTTAATTCCCCAGTGGCTGGGACTGGAACCCTGGTGGCTTCACCGTATTGGGCTTTTGCCCTCGAGTTAATCACTACCAGGCCACAAGTCCGGTTAATCAGTTAAAATTAAAACACGCACAAAGTCTCCTTGGAAGATGTAAACTCAGTATATAATAAGAAATGATACTGGCTCTAGGCTAACTTACAAGGGGAGGAGTGCCCTGAGAAATCCTCTGAACATCAAGAGACCACTGAGTGCTCCACATGTAAGGCCCTCCTGCAAGTTGAGGTTTAACAATAGGAGGCGCTAAGCCAAAAAGGGCTATATAGAACCACAGATTTCGAAACAGTTTCAAAAGTGATGGTTCCACATTTGAAGTAGGGTCGAAATCTGAACATATTTCCGCAACGGCAGGAAGAAGAGGACCTAGCATGTCTGCACCGCTCCTATAAGAAAATGAAGCAAGTCAGGAAAACTACAATTATTCTCAATATATTTAACATGGAGAAACGTTTACTTGGATCACTAATTATACTGAGCTATTAGGATAGTCGGACAGTGTTAGACATGGTTTCAGTGTCTCTTATTGTTACGTCAAGAATTTTATTCTGTGTTGCTCTGCTAATCATATAAAAATAATAGTTTTATACAAACTAGCATCATATAAATGGTTAATTACCTTCCATTTTTAGACTCAGTAGCCAGGCTTACATCCGAACATAAGGAAAGCAGGCGATGGCGATAGTCAGCACGAAGTTTTGTATTAATAAGACCATTAGCAATTGTAAGAAAGCCTGCAGCAAGAGTCTGTCATCCAATTGGATATGTAAGCATTAGTGTAATCGGAAAATCAAAAATAGAAAAACACAGAAAAGAACCATCAGATTACATTATACCTCTAGATGCTTAGTTCTAGATTTTGGTTCTGATATATTTCCTTCCTCAGATCCCACCGTCGATATATTTCTCAAGTAACTTCTAGTCATCAAAACAACTGTCTCGCGGTAGGACTTCTCAAATCCTAGTGTTGCCATCCGAGATACAGCATCAAGAAGCTACATATAAGTGGCAATATACGCATAAGTAAATATGACGAAAAAGATATATATAGTTGTTCTATTGCCAAATTTTGAGAAAGTGGCACAACAGATGGAATCACTTGAAACGGAGGCATACTTGGAGTCGCAAAGAGCCAGGAGTTGAAGTATCACCCTCTTCCAGGCTTTCAATAAAAAATGGGAAAACCATGTCCACTACTTCAGGCTTCTTAACAGCAACGCTGATATCAGCAAGCAGCTGAATAACATTGAGCGGTACAGTAGGATCTTCCTTGTCCCTACCAACCTGAGAGCCATATGATTGCGCTTATTAAAATTGCAACACAAGAAAATATGTCTAATCCAGCTAAAGGAAAGGTTTAAGAGTAACCTGCTCTTCGTAATCATTCTTTTTATGAATCCTTGAAGCTAACCCCCCGATGAAGGTGTTCACTAAAGCTCGATCCTTGGCCCAAATAGATTCAATAATCTCACAACAAATTTTAGATAAGCTCTCAAAAATATTCATCTGATTTCCCAACCAAGTATCAGGCTGTTCCAACAAAAAGAAACCTCAACCAGTCAATTAAGATATATATCCAGACTCCATAGAAGTAGTGACATGATACTTGGGCCTAAAACCATGTTTCTCAAATAAGTTGCCATAAAACAGAATTACCTGTGCGCAGACAGCTAGTACCAGTGGTTTAAGTCTGAAAAACATCCCATGTGGTGAACATCTTCCCTTTGCGACTGCCGCAATCCCAGAAAGCAGAGATATGAACAGTTCTTTGCAAGCCTTCATTTCCCGCCACAGGGATGTTAAGCAAGCTTCTGCAGCATCAAACAGCAATGTAAGAGTCTCCATAGTCAGCTTTTTATATGTCTTTCCGTCTGTTTCAAGGGACACAAGACTCTTGATTTTCATTCTGGCTGCAGCTTGATAAACAAACAGTTTGGCATCCACTCTAGTTTTCAAAAGTTGGTCTTGCTCATTCCAATCCCGCCTTCTTGACTGTAAAATAAAATCATCATCTTAGAAAATCAATTCTTCTCAATTCTCTTCAAGGTAAGCACTATTATAGCCAAATTTTGTGAATAAAAAGGTTTATGAACCAATAATAGCGGTAATTTGTAAAGCCTCAATCGCCAATGTCAATATGATCTAACAAAACAATATGTTAAGTAGCAACAAAAAAAAATGTTTACCTTGAGAAATGCAGACATGGACTGAAGCTTCCTTCTAGCTATAGAACTCACCTGATCATGGAGCTTAGAATCAACCTTTACTTTATCCAAAACATGGCTGATCAAATTGAAAGTAATCTCTTGCATCTCTAAACTCTCAATGGATTCATCCTCAATGGAAGAAACTTGCTGCCTAAACACAGAAAGAGAGCTAAACTCCTCATTATATACTGATGATGAGTAACAGTTCGACCTAAACTGATGAAGCAGCACAGTAATCAACTTATCCCCATCAGACTTTTTAACCGAAGGGAAACCAACCCGAGAAAGAGCAACCAAGAAAGCCCTAGAGATTGCTGGATCCATGTCCACGTCATCACCTGGAACCATAACCTCCCCTGCAATCTCAACAACCATAGTCCCAATTTCCAGTGACGTGCACGAGACGTAACCTAGGAAGCTGCAATAGAAGTCGGAAATAGAGTCCAACGTGAACGAACACGGCCAGAAAGAGCGGCGGAAAGACTTCGGAACGGCCTGGAGGAAATCGAGGACGGCGAGTTGGCCGTGATTCTCGGATGTGTCGACGTTCCTGGAGATGATCCGAGCAACGGCCAAGACGGCGTTGAGATGACTCCGAGAGACGCTGGATGATGATTCGTGCGGACACTGTCGGCAAATCCAAAAGAGATTCTCAGAGAATTTGATGGGATTCTCCTCTATGATTTCGCAAATCTCCGTCAATGCCTCCATCTCCGCGATCAGAATCTCCGGATGATGGGAGAGTCAAGAAATGCGAGTGTTTAGGGTTTGGGTCTTAGTCGTCAAGAGAAGATTTAGAGGGAAAATATCTGAAAATAAATTTAAGCAGCTTTTTCTTTTTCTATTTTAATTACATTTATTAGATAACAATTTTTTTTGTTGAAATCATTTTTTTTTTGTTTTTTTCGTTACATCATCAAATAATTTCTAATTCTATTAGATATCAGGATCAACTACTTATAACTTATATAAGATATTGATGAACACCTATACATATATGATTCTAAGATAAAGCTTTCCCAAACACTAAGAAACAATTATGCATGTACGACATCTTTGACATTCTCCCCCATCAGCAATCACAACAGACGGCTTTACCTACAGTATTCCAGAACCCCCATAAAGCTTACATTTTATAATAAATGAAAAAAATGTATAGTTTCGGATTTGAACCTTCACTATAAGAAAATAATTATTTAGCGAGGGTCGTTTTCGTAGTTATTTTTTCGTAAATGAGGTTTTATGAAGAAATAACCATGAAACGGAAAACATTATGTCATATTTGTCATAACACATATTTCCTCGCTAAAACCTCATAACTTTACTAGAAAATATTTTCTCATAAACAAGGGCCCACATTTCCTCGTAAAAGACACACAACATGTTCCACATAAAATACAGGCTAAGTATTTTCTCGTTAAAACACACACAAAAAATGTTTCCTTGTAACGTTCTAGTTAACTTTCGTCGTCATTAATGATAGCAACTAAGATTCCTATCTTTCAATGATTCAATGTCATAACAGATTCGCTTATTACTTGACATACCTAGAATATCACATTCAGGTGACGCACCAGCAGAATCACACCCCTTCACAACCCTTGCGCCCATCCCGCCTAAACCTTTCTCGAACTCATCAGCGAGGTTTCTCACCACCGATATGTATGCACCTTTGTCAGTAACGGTTTCGTTAACACCTAAACTCAAAGCAACTGGGTCGCCAATCTGGTACTTACGACATGTATACGTAACTGTTAATTTTTATATTCCTGGCTAAACACCTTTGTTCAAAAACCATTTAACTGCCTTTTAGCATGTCTGGTCTTGCTTACCCATCCCTATCTTCACCCAAGCCTCATGCGCAACATATTCACTTCCAAGTAAGTATCTTTCATATTCATTCATACGGGCTTGCCTTCCACAATCTTCTTCTTCAATCATTATCCTCTCCCCTTATCAGGTATCCCTTCCGACGCAAGTAAAAATCTCGTGTTAACTAAAATATTTTAAATTAACAAACTTGACCTTAGCAACCCCTCAACACACATTTCCATCAAATTCATTTTCAAATTCAGGGTAACCAACACTTACCTAAACCAACAGTCAACTCGATCGACTGTGTTCCTAAGTAAGTTTATTCCTTTAGACTTATCATCCCACCAGCATCAACAGAATCTTCTAGAGTCGAAGGTAGGTCAGATGAGTCCTCCGATGACTCAATGTTGATTGGCAGATTTTGAGTCTCATAAATATCGTGACTTCCCAACCCTAAGGAGGATTGGTTCAGGATTTCCATCTCACCAGGAGTGCATATGCCTCTAAGAACCTCCTCGCTAATGACCATGTAGCCCCTCTCCTAATCTCTGTTTTGGCAGTAATATCAATAATGTTAGTCCTACCAAATTTTGTTACTGATATATAGAATGTTAACTGTTACCAAAATAGTTATGCATCTCAATGGAATCTGTCTTTCTTCCTCCTTAGTCCTTCAACCCAACATTACCCCATCCTCTTTGTCCTTCTGGCGCCTGTAGTGCTCGATATTTTCCTCCCCGAAAGTCACATATATCTTTAGCCATACATAGTCCACTCTAACAGCCATAAACAACTCAACGTCACCATCTTCCTTGATCTCCAGTGGAGGTGCAGTGTAGTCGTCAGCCTCTCTTGTATAATCAGGGAAATCGTATGTCAGTAGTGCTGGCTCTGTGGGTTGCAAAATCTGGTCAAGCATGTATCTTGCCCCTAACCATACCAATTAGCAAGCTGTAACTTCGTTTTTTGTTACCAACACATCGTGTTTCACCATGGTATATGTGGTCGACGTTAAATTTCCATGCTCCTTGTCCTCCTCATTCACAGTCCTCAACCACGAGTCGCACAACCTGTCCCATATTTTGTACCTACTCAATAGAATTCAAAAATATCTCTTAGAACATGGTTCAACTTACCTTTCAAAGCAATAACAAACACTTGCGTTTTACATAACAAGTTATTCTTTTTATTTTAGATTCGTGACCTTACCTTCTTACTCGAGTGAAAACGATTTCTGTCAACCAAGTTAACTTCTTCTCAACTCCAAATCACAGCTTTCGTTCTCTTTCTTTTTTTCCACCAAATTTTTATCTTAATGCTAACAATGTGAATCTTCTTTATAAGTACTTGTATCTTTCAAATAAGTTGACATGTCATACTTTTTTGTTTCTCAGTGTTGTATTGGAAATAACACCCACACTATTCAGAATAAACAAAGCTAACGAGTGGAAAAGAAACCTTACAACTGGCGGCCTAGGCCAGTAAACAGTAACCTACAAAATCGCATGTGTATCTTCTCGCGTCAGACTTGTTGACACAAGCGCAACTAGTCATGTCTTTCCTGCGGGAAGGACATTTTTGTTTGTTCACTCACCTAATTGTCTTATTTGGGTCTGTATTTGCAATCAATGGCCATATCGCTAATATGGATTCCGATTTTGGGCAGATGGCTAATTGTCTCATTTAATAATTATTATGCATACAATTAGAAATTAATTTATTTTTCAATCAGAATAAAATCAATAATGCTGATAGGATAATAAAATTAATATATCTTATGTTTTTGATAAATAGTTTATTTTTTAAAATACCATGGTAATTTGCTTTAAATTAATAAAATAACCTAAAATGTCTATTAACAACCAAATCATATATTTAAATTATGTAACGAAATAACTACTTAAGTTTATATATATTAAGTATAATATAATTATTAAAAGAGAAAGAGTCCTGAAAAATCTACCTATACAAGCTATCTGGATCCTTTCACTTAATTCCTTATTTTTTGGCCATACCTTAAAATTTCTCTAACTATACAACATTTAATACATATAATTAATCCTAACATATTTTAATTAATATTCCATTATCTTACAATTTAATTATTACTCGACTACACATTTATAAATCATCTTTTGGACGTACACTAAGTGGACCAATGATTAATACATATGTAAAAATCCAATAAACTAAAATATCATCATCTCTAAACATGTCCCATGATGTATCCTAATATACAAAAATTATATATGTTGTTCCTTTTATCGAATTGTGGTTCTCAAAATCAAAAGGTTCCAAAACTATATAATATAACATGCAAGCTTTAATTTTGGTATTCGAATATACGTTTTGTTATCTTCGAATATTTAAGATTCGGAAATTAAAAACCCAAAATAGATTTTAAAACTCAAAAAATATCTACAAATATTCAAATACCCAAAATGTTTTCCAAAAACTGATATGAGGACTCGAAACTACCAAAATATATACCCAAATTATATTTTTTTAAATACAAATTTACCTTAAACTCGAAACAGTAACGGCAAACTCTAACCCAACACATAAAAAGTATTTGTAATACCTAAAATATAATATAATAATCTAATATAACATATATATATCCAAGAAAATTGAGGAATTTCAAATATCAGATGGGATCTCAGATAGGATACAGACCCGAGATAAGACCCGTAGGTGAAATTTTTATCTAATAGGTATTGTAGCCTAGACTTGACTGAACCAAACCGGTAATTTTTGGTATGTTTTGATTCGGGTTTTGTAGGAGTGAACTGCGCAAGCATATGAAAAACTAACATATATTTATATCTTTTTAATATATAATATTAAAAGAGAAAAATCTACTTATGCAAGGTTGTTGCATTCTTTCATTAGATTTTCGGATCTTAAACATTTGGACATAGCTACGAATTTGAAATTTTCTGATTCGGTTTCGGGTCGACTTTTTGGGGTCAAGGTCCATAATTCAAATACCTATAAAAGACCTATAATTTTTGGGTACATAACGTGTCCAAATTGGTTCGATATTTTTAGGACAAAAAAGACTCGAAGTACCTGGAAACCTAAAATAATAAAACCCAAAAAATCCAAAAATACAAATAAACACCTATGAAATATTTAAATTCCTAAAAAACCAAAATATTACTATAAATATGACCTAAGGAACCTAAATACCTAAAAACATTTTCTCATACCCAAAATCTTTTTTTTTTTAAAAAGTGAAATTATACCCAAAACTATAATCTGAAATCTGGATCCGAAACTTAAAAAAAAATCATAATACTGAAAACACATTCGAAATACTGAAATACCGAATACATATCTAAAATATCCAAATATACCTAATATACACAAACATTTAAGGTATTTAGAATATCCAATCGGGTCTCGGATAGGATATGCAATCGAACAGTGACCGCATGTCAAAGAAAAAATCAAATATGAACTTTTCCCTAAACTCAGAACCAAACCATAGCTATATTTCTGGATGGATTTTGGTTTGGCTCTATGGATCTAGTAAAATTTCAAGACCTAAAAAGAGTTATATAAGAATGTACATATATAAACTAATTCTTAACTTATATTATTTTAAAGGAAAAATGATTAGTATCTACTTGAAATATCGGTCATCACATAGCTGACCATGCAAAATAAAAAAATGCACTCAACTACATGAAATATATTGTTTGCATAGTAACATCCTTGAACTTTATGTTGTTATGTAGCTAACATCACAAGGCTAATAGCAATTAATTACATCACAATATTAATTACATTAATAATAAATATAAAATATAAAATGTTTAAGATATGGAAATCTTTTTTATATTTTACATTTTTATTATTATGGATATTTTTATTTTTAAAAGTGTTATACAAAAATATTAAAATTAATGTTATTTTGGAAAATTTTATCTTTATTTTAATTTATAATTTTAATAGTTTGTTAGTTTATCATTTATTTTTCTATATGATTTGTTAGATGACATTATATTTCTACCCTATTTTTTTGTAGCACAATTCATGTTTTCCTTCATTAAGGAGATATTTTTACAAACACATTTTCCCTAAATGAAAAATGACTTTTCTACCAATTTTTATAAACATATATAAATATAAATAATTATTTAAATACTTATGTCATTTAAAAAAAAATTCAAAATGTTTTATATCTTTAAAATGTCTATATAAATATTTTCAATAAACAAAAGTATTTAAGTATTTTATTACAAAAACCTTTTTCTAATAAAATATTAAAAATATTAAAAACATTTTAATTTATTGAAAATATTTATAAATACATTAATATATATATATATATATAAATGTTTGGAAAAAAAATTATAAATGACTTAACTAATTAAAATCCAAAACATATTTTTACATATAAAACATTTTATTTCACCTAACACAGAATAACAGGGAAATTTTACTTTTACCTCCTCTTTGATACCATTATTCATGTGTATCTTCCTTACATGAACATTTTCAAATATACACAATTATGTAGTTCAAAAAAAAAAACTAAATACTTTTCTATCCTTACTTTATAAATATAAATAATTATTTAAATCATAAATAAAAATAAATGCCAAACTAACAAACAACTAAAAATATAGAATTACTATAAAGTTAAAAGTTTTTTCTAAAATAATATCTACTTTAATATTATTGTACAAAAATATTTAAAATATAAAAAAAAATCGTAGTAATAAAAACATCAAATAAAACAGATTTTCCATATCTTAAACGTTTTTTTATATTTATGTTTTTTTATTAATATAATTAGTCTAGTGATATAATTAATATAACTAGTCTTATGATGTTAGCTACATAACAATATAAAGTTCATGGATGTTAGTATGCATATTATATACTTCATGTAGCTGAGTACATGAGTGTGCATTTATTTAGTTTGCATGGTTAGGTATGTGGTGGAAGATACTTCAGGTATGTGGCAATCATTTTTCCTATTTTAAACAAGGACTCTTCTATATAATGTGACATAAAAATGATTTTGTTTATGATCTAAATAAACACAGAAGTCGTCTAACTAATAATGTAGGTGTCTGCTTAGTCGTTTTAAGCGCTAAACGTTGAACGATTGCCCTTAACGCCTAGTGCTTTCGTAAACACTTAACAATGGCAAGGGGGAACTATTCTCCTTTCAAGTCCTTCTGGAATGGATCTCTATTATGAATGTCACTTGGGTTAGTTTCTGTTGAGTTAAGAAACGTATGTTGTTATTTTCTTACCGAGATCGCAACTCTTTCGTTACCTGGACAAGGATATTTCTAAACAACACACAGGAGATGATAAGAAAGAAAGCGGAGCAGCAAGCTGATTTGCAACTTGCCATAGAAGTAGAACTTCAGAGAAGAAGGTTCTTGATTCTGCAATTGCCTGAGAGGTAGAATGAGTCTATTCACCATCTCCAGCGTAGTCTTTCTATCGGCTCTCCTCCTCATCTCCCACCTCGGTTCAACCATAGTTTTTCCTTTCAACCAGAGAGCAGCTGGAAGAAACCACAGAAGGTGTTCTTATTGTTGGCTCAACATTTTATCTTTCTTTTCTTGGCAGTGGATAATGATAGAGGTGAAGCCATCTTCAGCTAGTAGCCAACAGCAACGAAAAACGTTGCTAAAATACAGTCTTATTTATATCATTTCTCAAGGTAAGAGACAAGTCTGGAGAATACTCTTCCTGATAGCTTGTTTTAATCCCCTATTAACTCTGAAGAAACCCGCCAAACAGAGTCCGATACCGAGCAGAATAAGGCGTCCTAATCAGATAACACCTGATAACAATGTTCTAAATTCTCTAAACGCAAACCATCTTTTAATTTTTTTTTCAGGCTAACTATAGGCAGAAAGAAACTAGTGTATGATTCAAAAGTGAGCAATTTCGCCATGAACTAATTAAACTCTGCCTATAGTGAATAAAAAGAAAATTGAAGTCCTACAAATGCTTCATCATCCCATTCAACTTAGCTTAAGGTTTGTCCTTTAACGCAACCAAGGATCTGATAACGCCCTGAGGAATACTATCAGCAAGAGCCCCAAGTTCAGATAGAAAAAGAGTCTTCTCCTTCAGTAAGCTCTGCAATTTCTTTGACTCAAACCCCATCTTCTCTTCATCTACACATTAACAGGAAATGCCATTTTCTCATGAGACTAGTTGTGCATTTAATTATTCAAGAAAGTAGTAAAACTCAGTCGAGACGACAAACCTTTTTCCAGCATTGTATGCACAGCATGAAAAGGAACTTCAACAAAAAGGTCAGCTCCTGGGAGCATCATCCACGTGGGTTTACTAGAGTCATGGGATCCACACGTCGAGCAAACTTCCTGTACCATAGGTTTCCCTTGAGTATTTTTCATCATAGAATCAAAAGGAGAAGGAACACTAGTCTTTGTTGTCCGGGCTTTCTTCCTAAGTGATGTAAGAGCCTCTCGGTTCGCATTCCTCTCCCTCTCGTTCTCCACCATCTCTTATTTACACACATTATGCTCCATTTGGTTAATGACTTTCTCCAAGGATTGTTATTGCAATATGATTTACAATTTACAAACGCAATGTATATATTCCAACAAGATGCTAACAAAACAGATATTCGAGTTACCTGACTTCGAATTAGGAAAATCTGATCGGCTTCAGCTTCATATTTCTCCAATACTTCAACAATCTTCTTTGGATCCAACTCCATCTTTTAGTTTAATAGATTCCGATGTTCAACAAAAGGCTGGAACAGCTAAAACAACATAATAAGTTAATGAAGTATATGTCCTCACAAAAACATGCTGATCAAAAAATGGTAGCATTCTTTTCTTGTCTAAGGATGTGATAAAGGGCTTAGTGAGTCAATCTTCCTAACCCTGAAACTCTTTTATGTTAACCTGTTTCCTAGCTACGGATACTTGAATGATACTGTTAAGTTAAAGTCCCACAAACCAAGATGACTAGTCTTATATAATGTCCCATTGGTCCTCTCCTCCCACTTACAAGCTAGCTTTTGGGTGGATTTTACCATTGGGCTTGATATGGGTTTGTCATGAGCTATTGTAGGGTATTGTGATAAATGATACTCAAATGTTTATCAGATACCACGCAAAATCTCAAATGGGTATGATAGCATAATATATAATTGAAGAGATAATTGTAAGACAGATATTACAAGTAAAACAAGAAAAAAAAAACCCAACTTTACAAGGCATATCAAGAACATAAAGAACAAACAAACAAATGATAGTATGGACTACTATAACTATGCATGAATTGCACAGAAAATAGGAAACGCAAACAGAGAAAAAAATAAAAATGTCAGGAAGAACCAAAAACACGTATCTCATTACATAAAAAAAAAATAGTATAACGGACGGATCAGAACAGTAGTAGTTAAATGGAGGAAAGTCTCCTTTCAAAGCTGCCTACCTCCGTGCTATTCAAGATTCATCCTCAGAGGCATTCTATCGAACACATTAAGGGCACAACTAAATCACAACAAGACTGTCACTTTCGAGAAGATACACGGATTAAAAAGAAGACCCACAAAAAATCGACGCAAGAATTACCTATGAAATAAACATCAAACAATCGCGAGGAATATATGTATACGTCGTGAGGAAAATGACCGATACGGTTAAGAGACTTACCTTGAAACAGAGTGAAGAGAAACAGCGCTATGTAAAACGACATCGGTTTTCTTTGTGGGCTCGCATGGGCTATTAATGTTCTGATAAAGTCTCGACCCAATTAAGATTTTGACTAGACTCTTTTCCTCTAGGAGGGAATGGTTTTTCCAAGTTGCCTTGGTATTCAAGCAATCACAGGGCAGTGAGATCGAAATCTAGATGACGATACCTTGGTAACCACGCTACTTATTCTGTGTGCCGACCTGTTTCCATAAAAGTTTTACTGTTGTAAATGTGCCACAACTTTTTTAAATAATATCACAAAAATATGATTCAAACCCGTTACTTGTAAACAAAGTCACCAAAGATTCCAAACATTTTATGCTTTCCTTTGCTTTTCTTCTCAGGAAATCAAAAGGAGCTGGGAAAATCTGAAGAAAGTTTACCTAAAAGCCTTAACTTTTGTATAAAAACTATGAAAGCGCAATATTAGTAGTACAGAAACTAGAACACACAGTAATTCAAGAGTTGTCTTTTCCAAGAAAAATACGACTAGATAAATCCTTTTTAAAAGCTCATACAAGTTCTTTTGAAAAGCAATTCTCAACACAGCTCAAGAACAACTTGACTTGTTGACTAGTCCAATCAATTCACGACTTACCCTAGTCAGTGAATNATGGTTGCTTATTCTTCATTCCTTTTTCCTTAATGCCCACGCCTTGATAAATATCTTCACATCTTTATTAAAGGCTCCTTCCTTTTTCTTGCTCGACTCTAGACTCCGCATTTCACTTAGTAGTTCATGTCGTGCTTCATGAACTACTTCAACTCCGTTCTTGAACTACTTCAGCTCTGTCTACACCATACATCTTCAATCTCCCCCTTTTTAATCTGTGCGTCTCACAAGTACCTGAGATGAATACAACAGTGCACACACAGACGAGAAAAGACTTGCAAAGCAATTGATGTAAGCAAAAGTACTTAAATATCCAAAATAAAGGGTTGCATACTTAATACATCACCGAAAAGATAACACACATAAGTACTCCCCCATAATCTAAAAATTGTCTGAAACTGGAAATCAAAACCAGTTGCAACAAGTGGTGCAACCAGCAAGTACAATGCAAATGGAGTTCTTAAAATAAATAAAAAACGCTCCCCCACAATCTTAGCCTTCATCTCAATCTTCTCCCCCTGCTTGTGAGCACACAGGTTAAAAACACAAAGCAAGATGTAAACAGACTTAATCAAAGGAAGAAGGATGCTAACCAGAGACAGAGCGAGAGAGATCGGCGACAATATCAGTCAAAGCTCGCAGAGCCGCAGCCGTGTCCTGAAGTGCCTCTTGAAGCTCTTCCTGAGTAATCAGACCTTGAGGAACCTTAATAGTGCCCAGCTCAACCAAGGAAACCCTGCGAGGACCAGTCTTACCACTTGGAGTAGATGGTGTTGTAGCAGGAGGAGGTCGAGGTGCGCGAGCAGAGGTACGGACCTCCTGTGATGGAGTAACCTTTCCCTTACCTTTTGCCTTAGCTCTAAGAAGCTCATAGTTCTCTCCAACACGCTTGTCCTTTTTGTAAGGCATAGGGCGAACAGGTTTCTCACCACTCTTTGACTGAAGAGGGTGTTGCTTCTGAAGGATTCCCATGATGAGACGCGGAAAAATCAACCACCGAGAGTCATTGCGCTGAATAACTCCCAAATTCATTATCTGCTTGAAGATCAAGTTCCCCAAATCAATCTTCACACCATGCGCCATCTTGTAAACCAGCTTGGCCCTATCCATGGACACGTGTGTCTTGTGAGTAGAGGGAATCCAATTATAGGCAGCAATGATCATCAAAGCACCATAACGAGGTGAGAGATCAGTGGTGGTCAAGCTAGCCCATGTCTTCTTGGTCTTCTCGGTTAAGAACTCAGCCAGCTCAGTCACAGTGACTGCATCCATGGTTTCTTCCATGTCAGCTTCTTCCTCAGACAAAGGCTCAAGACCGAGATAATCATTAATGACTGAGGGAGAGAACTGATACACATGGCCTCGGACTTGTACCTCAACCTGTCCTTCAGCATCTTCAATTTTAACATTCGGTAGACCTGCATAAAATTCAGCCACCACCTGCTCAACATAACTCACAAGAGATGTCACAGTCGACACCATACCACCCTTCTTGATAACCTCAACATACCCCCACTGATCCGGTTCCTCCACATCTACACTACGTTCAGCTATAAAACTACGACCCGCAAACTGATCATACCTCAGCTTTGACTCTGGTGTAGTAGCTGAAGCACGGAGCTCTCCCTTCTTCCTAGATTTGAGCCGATCAGAGACAGTGGCTTCTTTGGGGAGGCTAGGAGGGTTCGCAGCAGTTTGAGATGACATAGGAGCATTGTCATCTCCAGTCTTGACTTTCTTAGAACCAGGAAGACCCAGCCTCTGAAGAATTCGCTTCTTCCTTGCTTTGATAGGTGGGGTTCCTTCAGATGTAGAACTCAACTCCACCGCCTCTTTGGCTGTCTGAGTAACTGCCAAGGGCAGATTCTCCGGATCTTGAGATCCTTCGATTTGTTCCTCTGCTTCTTTTACTTCCGAGTCTGAATCGGTGTGTGTTACATCTGGGGCAGATGCAGTAGGAGAGGCTGGAGTTTTGGGAATGATATCTTCTGGGGCAGTTGATGACGCAGGTACATGGGATGTGTCCAAAGTCGGGTCCTTTTGTTGCGATGTGCCCTGATGCTCATCACTTTCTTCCGATTGAGCCTTCTCATTAGCCGTGTTGAAGGACTCGAGCTCCTCGGTGACCTCAAGAAGACCCGTCAAGGTTGTCGGATTGTTAAGAGGAGGAGGTGATTCATCTTCTCCGTCAGCAAGGTGAAGTCGATCTGGCTCAGGGGTGACATGCACGGGTGGATTTGCTGAGGAAGATGCAGCAGCTGACTTCTTCGTGTTCTTCATCTTTGAAATGAGATCTCAATGAATTTGCTGCGAGAGGATTTGTGAGCAGTTTCTTTGATGTAGGAGTGGAGAAGTGAGATCGTGTGAGGTATAGTGAACAGTTTAGGGTTTTCCCACTATCTCCACTAAGAGGGAAACTCAACCAACTTCTCCGAAATTGTCCATCTGGTCCCTGTACTGATTTACTTTCCCTTTTGTAACCTGCACAATTAATCTCTCTCATCCAAACCCATTAGACTTAAGCAACCACATTNTTGATGTAGGAGTGGAGAAGTGAGATCGTGTGAGGTATAGTGAACAGTTTAGGGTTTTCCCACTATCTCCACTAAGAGGGAAACTCAACCAACTTCTCCGAAATTGTCCATCTGGTCCCTGTACTGATTTACTTTCCCTTTTGTAACCTGCACAATTAATCTCTCTCATCCAAACCCATTAGACTTAAGCAACCACATTTGCGAATTATAATGTATCATTAAACTCTCAGACTAGCAATTAAACATGTATCACAGATCACAATTGGCCTTAGAGAGAATTTAAATAATTTAAATAGATTGATTTTGTACCTTTCAGAGTATGTTATGCCTGATCTGATTCAACACTTAATTCAGGCTGCACACACAAGACTTTGTAGATCGTACAATCTGGTGGACTCAAAAGTCGTCTATGGCTAGCTTTCACACCGTTGTACCTTCATCAATCCTGGTGGGTTTTCACTTCCTCATTCACATGTGTGCGTGCTCCCAGTACTTTCATTTTTTTTTTTTTTTTTTTTTTTTTTTTTTTTTTTTTTTTTTTTTTTTTTTTTTTTTTTTTTTTTTTTTTGTTTCATTTTTTGTTGTTGTTGTTGTTGAACTTCTTCACCCTTCTTGTGAGGTGACGATGTTGCATCTTTAAGGATATTATGATCATACACACACGTGAATACTTGTACCTCTCAGCAGAATCAACGGTACAACAGGTAGCTCTTTTCCACAGTGTCCTCGGGTGCCAGACATAATCTGAATCATGTGTACCTCCTGAACTAGCACATGTACCAAACCCTGCACTACTTGACTCAACAATCAAGGTTACATACTCCAATGGCATTTCTTAGTGTGATAAAACGGTTAAAATCAAGAGGTTTAGTAAAAATATCAGCCAACTGTAAATCAGTAACAACATGCTCAATTACTACCTGATTGTCTTCAACCAATTCTCTGATGAAGTGGTGCCGTATGTCAATGTGTTTTGTCCTAGAATGCTGGACTGGATTCCTAGAGATATCAATCGCACTTTTGTTGTCACAGTGTATCAGAAAAGGTCCAGACGTCATTCCGTAGTCAGCTGACATTTGCTTCATCCAAATCAACTGTGTACAACAGCTTCCCATGGCAATGTACTCAGCCTCTGCAGTAGATAGTGACACAGAATTCTGCTTCTTGCTCATCCATGATATGAGATTGTGACCCAAAAAGAAACATCCTCCACTTGTACTCTTCCTATCATCAGCACATCCTGNTCATCCATGATATGAGATTGTGACCCAAAAAGAAACATCCTCCACTTGTACTCTTCCTATCATCAGCACATCCTGCCCAGTCAGCATCACAGTATCCTACCAAATTCTTGTTGGAGTTCTTGGCGAATTGTATTCCAAGACTTTCAGTTCCCTTGACATACTTCACGATCCGCTTGACTGCATTTAGATGTGACACTTTTGGTTTGGCTTGATATCTTGCACAAACTCCCACACTGAAAGATAGATCTGGTCTACTGGCTGTCAGATATAGTAGACTTCCAATCATCCCTCTGTACAGGGTTGGATCAACATCTTCACCAGCCTCATCTCGTGCAAGTTTCAATGAAGTACTCATTGGAGTAGATGCGACTTTGCTGTTTTCAAGTCCGAATCTCTTGACTAGGTTGCTGGCATAAGCACTCTGTGAGATAAACACCCCTTTCTCGGACTGAGTTACTTGAAGCCCCAAGAAATACTTAAGCTCTCCACACATACTCATCTCGAATTCATCAGTCAT